AAACACAGAAGATATCTTCTGTACCAGATGGAGAGATTTAGGGGCCAGTTACAACTTACAGGATTTACAGACGAAACCCAGCAAGAGCGAAGTTCAGAGAAGACAAGGACATAGACACGAAGCAGCACGAGGCAGCACGAGGGGAAGACCGAGTAGCTATTTACATTTAGATAGTGCACTTAAGACTACTGAATGCTGATTTAGAAAAGGCTTAATACACGTTGCCAAAGTTTCCAGCCATTTAGCATTTTAATTCTTTGCAGGTTAAATAACGCAGATTGAGTAGATGAGATATATGCAAAGGGATGCATACTTCAAGAGAAAGTGTACTGTTTTTCTTTGGACACGTGGCTGTACTAGGTTAATGTCAAGAAAGAAAAAATGCGTTATTTAAAAGACAAGCTGGGAACATAATGCATTAACAGTGGCAAAAATGCGAGTGAAGAGCATCAAATGATATGTTTCGAGCCACTCTCCAGCTCTAAGCAGGCAACCTCAAGCTGCAATCCTCCAGTTAGCACTTCTGCGCTCCAAATCCCCACTTCCAACTGTCTCATGAAACATGACATCTCCGAGATGAGGAATAAGCCCTGATCCCATCAGGGTGAACCTCTCTGCTTTTAATCAGTACAAAGTGATTACAGATATGTACTATTCTAAAACTTTGTGATATCAGGCTATTTTTTTTTTTTTTTAGGGAAAACCATTGTAAACAACAATCTTCTTCCTGGTTTGTTCCTTTTCTACATATCCCCTGTTTAATTATGGCAGATGTCTCACGCACAAGATGACCTGCTAGCTCTGCTCCAGAATGGGACAGTCTTTTTCTATTCCAAATTGACAACAAGAGATCCTATTAAAAAAAAAAAAATAGGAATAAAAATAAAAAATAAAAAGCAACAGAACCAATAAACGAGAAAGCCAAATCCACTGGGGGCTTTCTGTTTGCAAGGTTTTCAGGCTACGCTTCCCTCTTTGTTCCAAAGCACCACAATCTTTTACAGCTCTGCATAAGTGAATCTCAAAAATTAACTCTTGCGCAGAACTTTCTCACGAGGGTCCAGCGCTCAGTCAATCGGTTCAGAGCAACAGCTGGAAACAAGGGGGTTAAATTATGTTTATAACAGCAAGGGAACGACAAAAATCAATTCTCTTGAGTGCAGTTCTATTTTAGGCAAAAAAAATACACATGCTTGTATGTGTGTGTGAAGTATATGTGTAATATATAAGTGCATGTGTGCGTATCCATACACAGATATACAGCAGCCATATATATACATACATATATATATGTACACTGATCTATGTGGCTGATGACGCAGGAGTCTTCAGTTAAGTGGATCAGTAGAGCATTTGCCTTACATGGAAAATAAGGTAACCGGAATCGGCAAACAAGACAGGCTGGAAACAGAACTGGGCCTGCATCTGAGAGACAAACGAAATGGTGGAGTGTACAACCATACCAAAGGGGATGTATACCTGCATGTGTATTAGTCAGCACCTTCTATCCTATTCTGCATATCTGCCCCGGTGGGATGCCCTTTCTCTAGCTATACTAGCAGCCAGAAGGCAAGATCTCTTCCAGGCAGATTCACAACCATCAACTTCTCTGATGTCAAAGCTTTTGGACCTCATTAAAATTATGATGGAAGTTGTGTTTCTAACACAAACACAATTACTTGACCATTATTATTTAGTTCGCATGGCCTTCCCGACTCAATACATAAGGTGGCTTATATTCACTCATTGACCAGAGCCATGCAGCAACCAGCCAGTAGGACTCCAACCACACTTTTAACCAGAAGCAGATTCTCTTTCCTGAAAGCTAACTTGAGCCTTTCTCTCTCTGCCTCTTCCTGAGATTGGTCCAGAATTGCACTAATCTAAGCTTTTCATAGGTGCTTTCTTCCTCAACTTAAGGATAATTAATTAAAAACATCCAGAGTCAGATTTTCCAAGGATGAAGCATACGATAATCTGGAGTCAACTACAACTACATTTATCCTTTGAACTCAAGTGAATGACTCAGTTCTTCCCAATGACATTTTACTAAACCTGTGTGTAATTAGCTACACAAACATCAAGCCTAGAAAGGGAAGGAGAAGGAAAACTCATGAGTCAAGTGTTTGGAGATACAACTGGGATAACTGAGAAGGAAGACTTGCAAAGCATGGATTCAGCTCAGGTCTTGCAAATCACAGATGATTTTGTCTAGATTTGAGCCAAAATTCTATTATGGCCTGAAAAATCCTTAGCCAATAGAAATTCTGCCAGAATATGCTTTCACGCAACAAAAACAACAAATAAAAATCTTGGTCAGCAAATTAGCATTTGTATAGGCATCCACACCCCCATTTTTTCCTACAAAATTCCTCCTAGCCATAATTCTAAATCCCGTAGTATTATGTAAATAGAAAACATTGAGAGGCATCAATCACAGCTGCAGCTACCAAGAACAAATCATCCACAATAAACTATTCTATTATGTGAATTATTTTGCTACAAGCAGACTAAATTATAGCAGAAGATCAAGGTTTTAAAGAGTCCAGCCAGCCCACCACCGTCTACCTACACTTTGCACCCTAGTTCTGACACTCATCCTTCCCTGGCACCCCATTATTAAGCTTAGTGACGTCCTTCTCATCAGTCTCAATGCCTTGTCAGCTGAAATTCAGAGCAATCAGCCCCTGGAATCAGCTGCAATTAATAACTCAATCACATTCAGCATTTTAACTTATCCTCTTTATGAATCAGGTCAAGCTTGAAATCTCCATTTACGTTATCAGCCTTTGAGATATGAAGATAATCACGCATCGGACCGATCAAAGGTTCCTAGTAACTTTGGTGTGCAAGGATTACCATATGGGAACACTCTGTCTACCCTCACATCTCTGTTTGATTATGGACAGTACTTTCTTCCCTCGAAATTAGCACATAAAACACGGTGCTGAACCAGAAAGCGCTGCCCAAAGTACTGCTGAGCTCCTCCATTCAGTAACAGGGCTGTAGGCACAGTACATATGTCCTCAACTAAACACAAAGTTCATCATTTTTCAAATGGAATATCACATCTACTGAAAATCTAGGAGAAAAAAGATACTCAAGGTTTTATGCACGATCACCTTTATTTTACCTCAGCTTTATTTCTGTGGATGAAGGGCATTCCGATTCTTCCACATTGATTTTTAAAATTAAAAATGGTTCTCTGAACAGCATTCACTTCTCTCAGCCTTGCTTTGATGGGGAAATAAACTATATAGCCTATTGAAATACAAAAATATTCTGATCGTGTTCTTATGGTCCTTCCTTGTGTTCTCACCACCAGCCCAGCGATATCTGCAGCACCTATGGACCACCTCCATGTCACAATCACATCTGGTAAACATCTGACCAAGGGAAAAAATAAATAAAGAAATTAATACATCAAAGACAGAAAAAGTAATTCCTGTCTCAAAGAACTTTCACTCTGCTGCTCACATTCACATCCAACTAGCTATTTTTCTTCCTACAACATATAGGACGTAACGTAATTCTGTTATTTTTGGAAACAGAACTTCTCTCCAGAGTGTGGGCATAGGGAAACAATTTGTATCGAGATCTTAGGATTATTTAAAGAGAATTAAAAAAAAAAAAAGTAAGGATATAAACTAATAAAACAGTCTTATTTAGGAAAAAAAGAAAAAAAAATAGTATTTCAATTGAAGCTCTCCACTGCTGATACCAGCTATTACGAACACAGCTAAAATAATTTATCTCACCTACAGCAAGAAAACGTCACAAAAAAATCACAAGGAACATAATCCAACAACAGTCTTTTCCATTAACTCAAGAACTATGATGTATTGAATATTTCAAGCGCGATTACACTATAACAAAATGACATCGTGCCATGAGGTTCTATAAATTATTCTCTCTCAATACCTCCCTTCCTCACAAAGATGACAGGCAGCTGAATAAATAAAGTGCTATCAAAAGATGAAAGGCACTAAAGAAACATGGAGGATTCTTCACATTACCATGTTTGTTTTAAAGGGATAAGATTATCTTAACTGCTAGTGGTACAAATTCCAGCTGGGATCTGGCCATTCAGTCACTCTCACTGCCTTTTATCTGAGCACAGGAAGACTATCCCACTCTTGTTGGCGGGTCAGCCCAACAAGACTACTAGGATGGTCACCACCTACAAACAAGCCACTCCAGTCTCAGAAACTATTGTTCCAAGGAGATGTTCTCTGCAAAGGAACATATAAGACATAGTGTTTAAAATGATGGCAGCCTGTCCCAGATTACAACTCCAACACAGTTAATACTGTTGAATCTATTTTAGAGCTATCAACAGTAGAAAACTTGTCATTGAATTTCTCTGCTGCGGACCAATCACAGAATCACAGAATGGTCGAGGCTGGAAGGGACCTCTGGAGATCATCTAGTTCAAGCTCCCGGCAGGTTGAACCTCAAGTAGGGTCAGCCACAGCAGGTCACCGAGGACCACGTCCAGTCACGTTTTCAATATCTCCGAAGATGGAGACGCCACCACCTCTCTGGGAAACTTGTCGTAGTGCTCAGCCATGCTCACACTGAAGTGTTTTCTTACCTTCAAGTGAAATTTCCTGCGTTTCCGTTTGTGCCTGTTGCTTCTTGTTCCTGTCACTGGCACCACTGAAAAGTGTCTGACACTGTCTTCTTTAAAACCTCCCTTCAGATATTTATGCACACTGATTATATCTCCCCCAGGCCTTCTCTTCTCCAGGCTGAACTGTTCCAGCTCTCTCAGACTCTCTAAATACAGAAGAGCCAGTTCATAACCTATTTACTCTTTCAGAAAACTTTTAACATTATCAAGTGATCATTAAAAAAAGTTGGTAAGACCCAAGCAAGACATATAATAAAACAATGGATTAGAAAGTCCAATAACAAGGTAAATTAAAACACACACACACACACATACATATATCTGCTTAAACAAACTGTCTTTGATATGGTCAAAGTTTAACACATACCTGACAACTGAATTAGGCATCACACTGTTCAATATATTCATTAATGATCTGGAAAATAAGGTAAGAAATGAGAAAGCAAAGTCTGCAGGCGATAAAGCTGTCTTTATACACAAAGTTCAGGCTCAATACACGCAATGCAATGCACAGTGAAGGGGAAGTATTACGCTATTCATACTCCTTACAAGAACTGAAGCTCACAAAAGGAACTGGATGTCACCCCTGCAGCTCAGAGAGGAACTTTACGCAAGCCTACCACTTTCAGGAATTAATAGGATGTAAAGGAAATAAGAGAGAACAATAGAGAGATTATTATAACGCACTGGGATCTTGCTCATCACACCAGAGGAAGAAATTACAAGAACAGAGAGGAGAAAGGAGCAGGAAGAATGCTACGAGGTCTGTAGCGATGGAGGGAGAAAGACAAAGACACACGAAAAGAATGAGTTTGATTATAACAGAGACAATGAAACAAATACAACAAACATTCTTCGATAAAGAATGGTTTAGGGAAGATGGATTTGGAATTTCTGTAATTCCTACCACACACTGAAAAAATCAGAAAATATTCCATAGAAAAAATGAAAAGTTAGGAAATTCTCAAGAGGGAAGTGAAAATATTTTAGACTCGATGAGTTATTAAACTGTAGCACAGGATGCAGAGGCCAAAAAAGTGAGCCTCCAAAAGTACAGCAAAGTAGGTAACAAGAACATCCAAAGTTTTTAAAAACAAATTGTAAAATAAATTCTTAAGCCAGCCTAAATGATTAAACATCATAAGAAACCCAGGGAGCAATTATCAAAACATTTGCATACCTTGGCGTTACTTTCTCTCCTTTTGAGCACACTACTACTGGTCACCATCCAAAAGAGAGATTCTTGAGCTAAATGAACCTTGGATCTCACTAGACAATTCCTAGACTACTTGTAATTAAAGGCACCATTAAGCCTTCAGACAACCAGATGCCAAACCATGTCAAAGTTACACAACTGGATTTTGCTCCAATTACATTGCATGCAAAAGATATACCCCATCACAAATGAATATAATTTTATAGAAAGCTTTCTCCATATCCTACAACCTCACGATCATTTGACATGCTCTTTGCATTATCCTCTCAATATTGTTTAAAAAGACTGTTTAAAAGTCACCTGCCAGCAACCTTAAGAAAGATGGAATCAGTGGTCAATCAAAGAAAAAAACTTATCTAACCACCAGGAAAGCCAACTAAAAATAAATAAATAAATAAATACAATCTCGTTTACATCAAGGGAAAAAAAAAATCATTCTCTTCCTCTGTACTTCACGATTTTTTTTTTTTTGGGGGGGGGAAGGGGGAAGGATATTTTGAGCTTCCTCTTTGCTTGCTTATCTTCTAAGGGTCCGTACAGCTAAGCGACTGCAAATTCTTGTGGCTTGCTAAATGTCACAAGCACAGCTCATCCATTCTTGAAACATTCCTCCATAAACAATCTAAAAGGGCAATTAATCAAATGCTGCGCAAAGGGCTCTCGCACAACCCAGTCTGGGTAAGAGAACACCTAAACTACCTCTCAGATGGAGACGCTGATCAGATTTTCCCTTCAGCATTTAGGGAAAAAACCCTATGCTACAAATAACTCAGAAACAGCTATCATACAAGAGCCTGAAAATATTATCATGTAAGGTCAGAAAATAAATTCCCATCCTAACAAAGAAATCAAGTCTATTCTTAAGCAAACGCTACGGCCAGTGAATTTGGGAAAAAGACAGAGGGGAGAGCATGTAAGAGTGTGTTGTCTGAATACGTGCACAAATAGGGGACCAAAAGTCAAGAAGAGAGATTGTATCACAAGAGATGTAGAAGTCACAGGAGATGCCTTTCTTGACATTCCTCACCAAGAGATTTTCTAGAAGAGACAGAGAAGTCTCTGCTGCTTGTAAACGTGCCACTGGCTCCAGTCACTCATCCTGCAGTTTCTCCCCATTTGCAAACAAAATGACCAGCCTTCCTCAGTCATGGAGTGACAGACGCCGTTTTCTCAGCCTTTCTGAGCAATGTGGTGAAGCTCATCACAAAGAATTAGATCAATGACTGAAGGGAAGAGAAGAGAAAAGAAAAAGAAAAGGGAGAAACCTAAAACATAACTACCATCCTGGAAGTTGGGTGAGGAAAAAACAAACAAAAACAAACAAAAAAAAACAAGGGGTGAGTCAAGGAAAGACGTAAATGAGAACCTCTGCTGAGAAGTTGAATACAACACAATACTCAGCAGCCACCCAACTGGTCAACACATGGATTACCTAGTGGTAGACCAATGGGCAACCAGCCAAGCTATGATTTCTCTCACAGTGGAGGTAACCACAAGGGTAGCAAGTGGTAAAAGACACGTTAGGACATTCTAAACGTAGCATAAAAGCACATCCTAAGGAAAATAGGCCTCTTCTGCTTCTTTAGCTGATGGAGTAAATCCTTTAGAGCCTCACGTCCTAGACATTTCTTTTGTTGTATCCTTGCCGGTGTCTCCACCAACTACAAGGTCAACATTGACAGAGTACTACAGTGCAGCCAGGTACTACGGTTCCGGCCCTAAAGTCAAGTTCGCCCCTTGGGTTTCCTTGCGTTCAGATAGTCTGACAAGTACCAGAGTAGTAGCATATTGCTGGCCAAAAGCCATCTGGGAGGAACAGCTGTCCAGCAGCCAGAGGCCCAAAAATTATGCTCTTGGTCCCCAAGTATGCAGTGCTCGATCAGCAAATTTCAGTGTATTTTGACATTAACCTGTCCTGCTCTGACAAATGCACCCACTCCCAATTACACTCCTGTTTTATCAAGACATTGAAGCCCAACTAACTGCAGCAGGGAAGTAGCCAAAAGGGGTACTTCAGTCAAACCAATTACCTGATTTTGGGCACTTTACTTCAAAATCAGATCTACATGATCCATTGCACATTCTCCCTTTTTTTCCTCCCTCTTTTAAAGACTGCTGTCATCTAACACAGCCTCGTTTGCAGTCGAGTCAGACCAAAATTGATAAATACAACACAGCTGGATCTCAACAGCCTTTCCACTAAACTGCAGCAAAAAATTAAGCGAGATCCAGAGACTGCTGAAAAAATAGAGCAAGGCACCTGTAGGTTTCCAATAAAAAGTCATCTCATGGGGATGAAAACAATTCCAGGGGCAGAGACAAACGTGCAAAAGCATGCATACACTGTAAAGTTAGCATCAGTCCAGCTTCTAGCTAAGTCACAGCTGCCATTATTGCAATCACCCTAACTGGCATTTCCAGTTGTCAGATTGGGGGGGAAAAAACAACAACAACAAAAAAAAAAAACAGCTGCTAACTTGAGCATCTTTGCCTACAATCCCAGAAAAGGCTGACTGGAGAGCAGGGCTATGCAAGCAATGGGTGAGGAGGATGGAGAGGAAATTAATTTCTTTTTCCTGTGCCACCTATCGAGCTCGCCAGAGCGGCATTCTCTGGTTTCTACCACCCATTGCATTTATTTATGATCAGCCTTAATTCTGAAAGCAAACTCACAGTGATAATGCATGATCCTTCTGCAAAACTTAACTGAGATGGATGGAAGCAGAGAGCTATAATTTAAGGCGGGTTATATCGCTCACAGTACCAACAGCACTGCATTCAGGCTGCAAAAAAGGTTGCTGGTAAATTGAAGTCAGCAGAAGCTAAAGTTTACAAATAACTTCTCAAAAGAAAAAAAAAGTGCTAATTTGTGCACTCAGGAAAACGAACAGCCAGCAAGCAAGTTTGAGCATGCAAGAGAGAAAGGGCCTCCTTACCTAGACATATGTGATCGTTTGTGGGCCCAGGAGATCCTACAAAGCGTACAAGATTCACATTGGTGTTATCAGCAGTAGCACATGCTGTGGCAGGGACCGCCGCTCTGCCAAAGCCACGCGTACCAGTGCAAACAAAGAGTTATGGAGCTATCCAATGTCTCCAAATTGTCTCATTCCTCTCAGTTCAGCACCAAGACCGCAGAAGTCTCAGTTGCAAGGGCCTCTCTCCAGCAAAGTGTAAATAATTGCTGCTCTGAGCTGGCCCGACTTCACAAGGTCTCAGCCTTTTTGCAGACCCTACGGGAGATAAGCAATGCAAAGAGTTCAGTCCTTCCCTTCTGAACACATTTAATGAAAACACACAGACTCGAGGAATCTAGCACCGGGAAATGTCCAGATATGCAACTTTTCAAGCAAAAGGAGAAACTCATGATGAGTTCTCATTGGAAGAATATAACAAAGAATTGCATTTGCATGTCAGCAGCTGACAACTGGCACGCAGCACTGTATCACTGACTTAAATGAGGTCCTTTATGATCCAAACTCCAATTAGGAGTTCCACCTGAGGCCAAAGGAGAGAACAGGAAATAATGAAGAAGCTCGGTCTAACAGGCCGGCTGAATCTCACCCCTATTTGTCTTTCTAACTTTGGACCAATCAAGTTGGACACAAATAGGCACACACTGTCCCACAAAACAACACCTCAGGACCTCTAAAACAAAGGTGGTACTCTGCACATCTGGATTCCTCAAACTTGCCAATGAATGAAAAGTTTTTATCTCCTACAGGCTGGAAGTTCTAGTATTGCGTTCTTTGGCTCAACTTCCACAAAAGGAAAGAGGATACACTGTGCATCTTGAACGTCAGGCAGTTTGCTTATTTTGGATCCAGATGACTAGGTGCAAGGCCTAAACTTCTGCCTTTCCAGAACAGCGTCTTGAAAGAAGCCATATTCTCCTTTAACTAAAGGGTCTGCCAGCCTGTTTTGTTGCTCACCACATGCCTTATCAGCCATAAAGCCACACGTTTCCACCCTGCGTAGCCCTGAGTGCTCCCAACATGTTTATAAAGTCTACAGTGGAGCTATGCATCCCCATCTTACAACCCCTAAAAACGTTCCCTGTCACTATAACCCACTCCCTACTCCACATCCCCTGTGAAACTTCTGTCACAATATCTCTGCATCCTCCTCGTAACAGACACTTTCCCTGCACAGTCTCAAGCTCCCATCCGTGTCTCAAATCCCTCTCC